CACAAATATTAAAAAATGGACATGTGTGAAAACTTTAGTCTACAAAAAACTCTGTTCAACTCTGGTTTATATTTCGGGTCTTCGTCCGAAATTCCGACACTCATAATTATCAAGTTATTATATTGTCGTAATAAATTTATAATTTAGTACCTGTTAGAAATCCACGTCTGAGGTTAATATGCTGGTACATATTCTGAGCGGACATACATAATGACGGGCACAACTATACAAAATTGGATGAGTGAATTCAGACGAATGTAGAGCATGCGGGGAGGACAGTGAAACACTGCAACTCTTTCTTTATCATTACCATGCTTTCGTCGAAATTATATCCAAATATCCTGAAAACGATGTTATTCACGTTATAACATCCCTCAAGAATACTGACTGGAAAATTTTAAGGAACTACATGCACACGTCCAGGAAACATCGGAAGAAAACATTTTTATAAAGTAATATATAAGGATTTCCCATAAACATTTTCCATTTTAAATAACACACAACAGGACCGATAGTATCCTAGGTGTATTTCTTCGAATAAGATGTATTAATTAATTTCCTCTCAACTTCTCCTAACCTATAAATTTAAATGTTTAGAAACTATAATTTTGACTTATAGATATGAGTTATGACAGGATATATGTATTTTTTAGTCTTTCCATATGTAACACTTCAAAATATTGGTCATGGACCTACTAAAGTGAATATGTATATTAGGGTAGTAGGTTAGGTTAGCAGGTCGTCCTAGCGATGTCTTCACTGGGGACTTACTTGGGTCCAGTAAATTGATGCCTTTGTGATACCTGAAACAAGAGAAACGTCGAGGGTATTATTATACTTCGACCTAAATACTCTGGGTTCGTAAACCAAACCAGTTTGTCGAACGAATAAAGGAGTCTATCTTTCAGATATAAACCTTCGATAGATTCGTTAAGTCATGCAATAAATAACTACCTAGCAGACTCATTCTATGATCTGCTAGGGCGGGGCAATGACAGAGGAAGTGAGTAATAGTCTCTTCTTCCTCTCCACCTACAAAAGTCATTACTGGGTAAGTTTAGTCGTCTTGCATGGAATCTAAAGAGCCAGTGGCCAGTCACCACCGCCGTTAAGTTCCGTAGATTTACTCTCGAAATATGAAGAAGGGCTTGGGATCTTTGTGGATTGAAAGATGGCCATATGATCCTCGCCTGTCTGCAGGTGGGCTGAGTCGACCATCTGCATTGCGCAAGCTCATTAGAGTTATAACTTTTATACAATTTTTGAAAATTTTAAATCGGCCCTATCCATTCCACATAGAGCATAAAAAAGTACGTCGAATAAGTATATCACTTTTTTCTGAGCATTAAAAAAGTTTCCGCTAGTTTTCGATATTTACAAAACTGCAAATTTTTAATATTAACTAGTGGCATTGTTTGACCCAAAATATTTACACAGAGAAAAAGTTACCTAGCCATTTTGCACCAAAATGATCCTAGTAAAACGTTTTCGTTATTAGAACACTATTACACTAACACTAGTTTTGGTTATAACCCAAATGTATATACATACATATGTATATTCTGGATCTAAGTCAATAGATTTTGTTTTGTATCGAACATGATCATATTGATCATCGATATTTCCTTGCTTCCATACAGAAATACAATAATTAACTTTGAAGAGGTGAAATTAGTTTTATCATTTACATGTTTATTTATATATGTATGTATGCATACAATACATTTAATATCTCTAATATGATGGACTAAAATAAATAAGTCAATAGTTTTTAAATTACATGATTTTACTTTTGCAAAACGTAGTACATAATTTATTACCTTGAAAGATTTGTAAATAAAATACAAATAATTTTGCCCACATTATTTCATAAACATTAATAGATATACTAAATATGTACATTAGGTTGGACCCGTTTTTATAGAGAAAAATATAAGGTACTACTATTCCCACCGAAACTGAAATCTTGGTTCATTCTAAGATACCCTTGCTAAAAATGTTTGTCCTAGGTCGATATTTGGTTATCTGGATGAAATATAAAAAAGTCCTATTTTCAGAATTTTCCATTTTTTCAGGGCTTCGAGAGGCCCTTTGTTCAAAAATATAGAAAATTTTATATTTTTTCGATTTATTTTTATGTTATTAATAAACTTCATTAAGCACCCTAATGTTCATATGTACAGAATTTATTTATTAATATTTTTTCAATCTCTAGAATCTATAAACAGAATAATTTCAACGAATAGAATTGTTATTACTTTAAAAAAATACTTTTAAATAAATAAATGCCGATATAAGTATAAAAAAAACATTTGTTCACTTAAAAAAACTTAAGTTATTGGATTTCTTTTGCTGTTTTAATTCTTGTTTTATTTTTGTAATGCGGTTGATTTAAAATACACAAACAAAAATTATATAATTGATTTTAATTATGTTTAATAATCATATATATATATGTTTTTATATTGTTTATTCGCAAACATTTCAATTGAATTCTTTTTGAAAAATTAATACATATACATGGCATGTTCATGCAATGTATAATATACATACCCTGCCAGCAATTTGATATTTATTAACGTAAACAACCGACTTTTAAAGACTAGCAACAAGCTAACTATCATATAATGCGGGAGTACCCCAAAATTATCTGGAGAACATTTTGTTTCGACATGTTTTCTCATGTTTCTTTATTATTTGGAATTTTGTTTTAGATTTTTGTCATTTTCTTGTATACGTTGTGAAATTAGAGACAGTAAATTGTAAAAATTAATTATAAAAGTTTAAATATTTCAAAACTCGGTCCCTAAATTCTAAATTCTGCTGGCTAATACTGTAAATATAATACATTAACAGTTAACATTACACATTACATTTTAAAATTTATTTTAGATTTGGATCAATGAAATAATGAATCATGGAAATAATGAACAAATCATTCATAATTTTATGGATACCGGTGTTATTATTAGTTCCCCTGCAGAGAACTGATGTCTATTAATTTTAACGAACTAATATCATAACTTGTATTAAAGTGAAATGTAATTTAGATAACTAGTAGTTAAATTTTAAATATATTTAATTAAAATGTAATTAATTAATAGTAGTAGGGAATACAAAAGAAAACTATTACTTGACTTTTCTGCAACTAAATTTAAGTAGGTAATAAAGAGTTACCTTTAAGCTAATTTTTTAGTAACTAACTTTAAGCTAGTTAAAAAGTCATGCAGAGTCGGACAATTGACTACTGTCATGTTAAAATAGTCATTTGACTCCATTAAAAATAATCCAAGAATCAACCATAACTAGTTGATGAAAAAGTCGGCTTTTAATGCATTTAAAGTTAGTTGAGTTGCTGGCAGGGTATGTACATATGTATGTATGTATAAGTATTCAATTGTTTTCTTTCATTTAATTGATGGAAAAAACAAATCAACATACTTATAAAATATATGATTTCTATGCAGATTTTTTTGTGTTTATTAATTGAGTATAAAGTATAGGGGCATCAAAAAATGTTATATCAACTAATGTTAATGAAATATTTTGACCTATTATGCATGCTTGTTTTACACCCTGAGCAACGTGTGAATTGGTTGAGGTAATGGTACATATATTCAGAATATATCGTTCAAATATCTGCCACGGAAGCGCTCGCATGGGAAAATACGCTAAATCCAAACACAAATCGGACGAAATACCAAAAATTTCGTTGTTAGTGATGTAATGTAACTCCAAAGACAAATGTCTATAGAGGTTAAATCGAATGTCTGTCCTTGTTTTCCGTCGATTTCGTCTATTTCTATTCTAAAGCCAATAACATAATATATCGCTCATAATGAAAACATCTTTACTATCTTTGTACCAAGGACGAATGTAATGAATGATTTTAATTGGAAATGGTCTATGGTTTCTCATAATCCCGGTACAAATATCCTCCCATAATGCTCTTTTAAATAATAACTTGATCGTAGTGGTTATTAATATTTCGAAGATTGACTAAACTAAATTCACTCAAACTTGTATGAGTATCATTCCATTATTAACTGTAGCTCCCTTATAGTTAATCATACTTCCATAATAACACTATTTTGCAATGAAATCCTCCTTTAAAAATATATGTTATAGAATAATACATATCGTCACGCTTTCAATTTCTTAACATCACGTCACAATTCTTTGTAAGTCACTATTTTTCACATAGAGACAAAACTGGTTGTCAAAGACCTAAGTCCCCTGTCAAAGACCTTATCTAAATTTAACTTTTATTTATCTAATATTAGTGAAAACATAAGTTTTATTTTTAACGTTCACAAAAAAAATCTTACACTGAAAATAATAGACATACCCAGCAAAAACTCGGTAATGGCTTGTGCCACTTAATTTTTAATAACTAATACTTATCGTCTGCATTACTTTTAGGTACTCTTATATTTTGAGTTTTGCCGTTTTATTTGCATATTTTGTTTGCAAACACAGGAAGAAAATAGTTTTCTGTGCTAAAACCATTATTGGACCCACAATCAAATAACTACGAAGTGGTGTTGTGAGTATGACAGCGAACTAAAGAACAAGAAGCTTAGGTTCGTATTGTGTGACCAATTTAAAATAAAACTACTTTTTAACTTCTTATTTAAGTAGTTATTTGTAAGTGTGCATGGTATGCACTTGCTTCCAATGTCATTACCGTGTTAAAATAATGAGTTAAAATGCTAGTGAAGAAGTAGAGAAACCCGGCTTTTAACCTATTACTTAACAATGTAAGTTTTAGCTGGATTATGTCAGTCTTGTAGTAAATGAGCGATATATAGGCATTTTCAGTACACATTAGGTTTACGTTAGTAATTGTCATAAGTATATGACAATTACTGACTAATACTAAAACAGAACAATAGCAAATATATTAATTTCTTTATAATATTTACTATTAAATAATTATTTACATTTGTAAAAACAACATACTTTATAATATTTTTTCTTTAAATTTATTATCATTTCAGTTGTCATAGCAACATTTTTACAACATGCAATCGATAAAACCGAATGATTTGCCACAAAATCCATATGAACGTGTAAATATATTTTCCCGATTAGGTTTTTGGTATGAATTTCATTCACTTAAAAAATGCATATTTATTTTCATCTACTATACCTATCTATTCTGTCATCCACACAATTCTATACATTATTTCATTGCATTTAGGTACACATTACCAATATTTTTCAAGGGGAGAAAGAAAACATTAGACACAAAGGATTTATATCGGGCCCTAAATGAACACAAATCAGGTAATTATTGATTTTTATTACATATTGACAAATGTGTAGCTTATTGCTAATAACAAAAAAGAGTTTATAAATTTATAAAAAAAAATACAGACATCAAAACCTCACTGATAACCTTTGCTTTATTTTATATCGTTCATTAAAAATAAACTCAAATCAGATAATTGTTGATTTTATTATGTTTTGACTAATAGATTGTTAAGTGTTTATATAGTATATATGAATGTAAATTAATAACAATAGGAGTCTAATATCAAACAAGTTGGAGTTCGGTCGAATCTTAAATACCCTCCACCAGCAAGCTACTTTTTAGTAAACCCACTTAACTATCTAATGTTTAGATAACTCGACGTTAGTTTTGTACGGATATGAGCTTATATTAGTGCTGGGCCGATCTTGCCGACGCCAAAAAATTTTAGGAGAATGATTTGTATATTTACAAAACATATTCCTGTCGGGTTTTCCCGTTGTCGTTATTTTTAATGAACTATATTCTTTTAAGCGATTTTCGAAACGATGTTGATGACCTTCTATGGGAGCTATGACCATAATAGGCCAATTCGAAAACATTTTAGTACAATGATTTATCTATTCACAGAACATACTCATGTCGAATTTTATCCGCATATAATCATTTTATTTTTTTATAGTTTTATATAGTATTTTTATAGTATTCAGAAGTGAACCTTATATGGCCGATACGAAAAACTTCCGAATACTGATATATACAAAAAATACATTTTTGTCAAATTTTATCCCGATAACTTTGATTTTCAATGAAATTGTGCGTTTAAGTAATTTTCGGAAATAGTTCTTATGTGGGAGTTGTGACCAATTATGGACCTATCTGGAAAAAATTTCGCATATGATTTATATGTATACAAAGCATATTTAAGTCGAATTTTACCCCAACATTTTTATTAATTAATTAAATATGCGCGTTTAAGAGATTTTCGGAAGTAGAACTTTTATGACCAATTATATCCTAAAAAAAATTTCGTAGAGTAAATCATACATATATACCCAAAGCATATTTGTGTCGAATTTTATCAAAATAGCTTTATTTGACAATGAAATATGTGCATTTAAGTGATTTTTGGAAGTATACCTTATATGAGAGCTATGACATATTGTTGACTGATCCGTCAACACATTCACGTCAAATTTTGCCCCGATAGCTTTATTAATTAATTAAATATGTGCGGTTAAGTGATTCCCGGAAGCGGACCTTTTATTAGAGCTATAACCAATTACTGGCCTATTCGGAAAACATTTCGAAGAGTGATTCGTATTTACACAAAATATATTCACGTCGAATTTTATCACGATAGCTTTATATATTTGAGGGAGTTATTTACGTTAAACTAATTTCCGGGAATATATTATACCTATGTATGGGGGTTTTGGGAAATTTGGAATCAATTGTTATGTTTTTGAACGTACTTGATCCCTGGCAGAAAAAAATAATATGTGACAAAACTTATCTTCTGAGAAAACTACTTAAGAATTAAGAAAAATACGTAATTTTTTTCGAGGTATTCTGATATTTTTACTCATAACTTTTTACGTCGTGAACCTATTTTGCTGATTTTCAATACTAAACTGCTTAGGACAATAATAAATATTTTCGGTGAATTTGGTTGATTTCCTTTGCTTAGCATTAATGTGGGGGAATCAGGAAAGATGGCTCGTATACCCACAAAAGAATTAACATTCGGGATTCTTATCAGATTATATGACGATCTGTGGATACAGTTTGTTTAGTATTGAATATGGGCAATATCGAACAAAAAAACTTAACACTTTAAACAATTACTTATAGAAAAATGTTTTCTGGGTTTCATGTATGAATTCATATAAACAAAGAAAACTAATTTTTTCTTATTTAACAATTTAAATGAATTCTGTGTCAATGTAAATATTTTCCATTGATTCATTTTGTAATTATTCAGATGTAAATAAATGTTCTCTGGAAAATGCTCATTGATGAGGATCTATTGCAGTCGACAGCATCAAATGAATTTCAAAATTTGTTGATCAATTTAAATTTAACATATAAAATCAATTGATTTGTTTTATTAAATGTTTATATGCACATTCATATACATACAAACTACATACACACAATATACATTTTAAATGAATTAACAATTTTGTGCGCCACAACAATTAATTTCAAAAATTTACTTGGATTTTCAATTAATTGTTTTGGGAACGAAACCTATTTAAGTAACATTTTTAAATAGACTGTTCTCACAATTAAAATAAATAATTATTCATTTGGATGCAGTAAATTATATTTTAAATGAGAAAATTCGATATTAAACTTTCGTGGGTGGGTTATTGCCATTGTCAAAATACAATCGTTAGGGAAATAATGGCAATTATTGTTACATACATATATAATCAATATATTCTATCTCTAATAATGTAATAGTAATAAATAAATATTTTCAGGAATCGACAAGAGAGTTGCTGAGATATTTCTCGACAAATGGCATTGTAGTTTTGCATTTTATTTAATTAAACTACTGAATGTATTACACTAAAACTTCAATATAACGTACCTCGTTATAAGAAAAACTCAATATAACGATTATTTTTTCTGAGTCCCTTGAAAAGACTCTATAGCTATACATAAATGAAATATGTGCGTTTAAGTGATTTTCTGAAGTGTACAACTATGACCAATTATGGTCTGATCTGGAAAAAATTTCGAGGATAGATTCATATACATATACACAAAATATATTCATGTCGAATTATATCCCGATGCAGAGTGATATAAATATGTATACAGAAAACATATTTGTGTCAAATACTAGTTATTCCTATATCCTTATCTAGCTTAGTTATGACCATTTAAGTGATTTTCGAAATTGGACCTTATATGGGACCTATGAGCAATTATGAACCGTTTATTATGATTTCGAATGTGTGAATATATATAGAATACTTACTAAAGAAATCATGAAAATATCCCTTCTTCTTTAACAACTTCGAAATTTTTTTGCTGGGAAGTATTCTATTTAATGCGTTTTAAATACATGCCTAAATTCTAATAAATTTGTCATCAGTGAAGGCATGAAAAATGCACCCAAATTCACTCATGTAACTCCACTATATGAATTGTAATATTTTACTGTAATTTGGTATTCTCTTAGGAGATTTAACGAAAACGTGCATTTCATACAATAAAGATTAAAAATGACATAAATTTTTTTATTCGATTTTTGTTAAAATTAGTAATATTAAGTCCATTAAAATTAGTAATATTAAGTCCATTAATAAGAGAAGGAAAAAACCAAGACTGCTTAACGGATTTTAAAACACAATGGGTATTTTTCCTCTGCATGAATTTAAATCCAATCAAAATCAGTTAGTTATGTTTTATCTTATTCTATTTTTGTCAATATCACTCAAAAAAATTATTTAAATATTGATAATTAAATCGAAGTACCATTAATGCATTTTTAAATAAATATAGTGCACCAATGAAAATTCGCTTGAGAATCATCGAATATTCATTGGTTATAAGAACTCATTTAAATGACGAACTAGTTTTGCAAATACGAACCCATGCATGCCAATGACACGCTAATGTTAAAATCATGCATGTTTCCCCTAAATATGAACCAGTTCATTATCAGTTCAACCCATGCATTTACTACTTTTTTTGCACGTCTTTTTTTGCTGGGTACCTATGCATATTTAAAACGTCAGTAATGTAAAAATACTTTTTAATGTTTAAATATTTTCGAAAAATAGTTTGAAGTTTTGAAGCAAAGAATATAAAGAAATTGGGGCTTGTCAGTTGGTACGTAAAGGAGTTGTCATTCGGTACCTAACTCTAAGTATGTATTGGTAGAATTTTTGTATTAGTATTGGAGCTCCAACCACTTTCACCACACTTTCCAAACATACATACTTGCATAAAATCGTACATAAAAAATTTAGGAAAAATAAATAACATTTAAATTTCTACATTCGCAGATTTTTTAATTTATTTTGCCCACATCTAATCAGTAAACATTTAATAAATATATTTTTCGGACTTAAAATCTCTTTTTTTGCAAAAAAATGAGTTTATTTTAAATAATTTTTTCATTTTCAATACCAAAATATACAACTTTGTTTTGTCAATTTTAATTTCAACACACAAAAATTAATTGTCAAAAAAATTAAAAAAATATTTTTTTAGTTTGTGAAAAATAAAAATATTTCGGATTGTTAAATGCGATAAAATTGTGTAAAAAATTAAAAAATAGTTATGTGTTTGTGAAAAAACGTCGTTTAAGTCCTATTATCCCGGTATTTTCGCGAAAAAGTTTTGAAGTATTGTGAGAGAATTGAGTTCTCACAAGTGTGTTGAATTTACACAGAACTCGTCTGTGAAGAGAAGGAAATGTTATTGTTGTAAAACAATGTCATAGTCCAACTTCTTATTATTCTTTGTTTTGAAGCATCTAGGGAAAATTTTTACATGTATATTTTATATTAAAAAGTCAAAAATAGAGTATATTATAAGCCGTTTCTCTGGGAATTTAATAAAATTATTCAATTATTTACTATTTCAAAGGTATTTCTGAGCCGTAAATTGAATGAAGCGATATCCATTAATAATTCAATTATATCTTAATATTTACTTATAAAGACCGATTTTCAACATAATTTACGAAATATTGACTAGTCCCTTTAAAAATATACCACAACACAAAATCATAAATCCCCACCGTTTTAATAGAATTCAACTTTGTGAAACGGGAAAATGCCACAATTTTTATTTTTTTTGCCAATATTATTTGTTTTAATTTTAGAAATTTTCCAGTAATTTCTACGTTTGAAGTATAAACCTAATTATAAATATTTTCACCTTTATTCATATGATGTATTATAATGAGTATCATATTACAATATAAATTTTTACTGTCAAAACATAGGGTTAGTCGATTTAATTAAGCAATTAGCTGGTAGTTTTTCTTTATATCAATAATTGGGAAGTGTAAAAACAAAAGCAACAATTTTTTATATATATTCTGGGTCTATATTAAGTTCTAAGACAATCTTGCCTTGTCTTGCTAGGGTCCGAAAAGAAAGAGGTAGAGGGTTGAATTTTTATTTCCACCATTTTAAACTTTTTGAAGATTATTTGCAACTTTAAAACTATAAAGTCCAAAAAAATGAGCTTTACTAAAATATAAATATTTATCTAAAATGTTTACGCAATGTCGAATTCAAAACATTGCTCAACGAGGACGGACGGTAATAGCTGTATAGTTTGTAGCACATTTTCAAAACAAAGATTTTTATGTCAGTAAAAAATAGTTTAATTTTAAAAAGCGCTATAATATCGGATTTCGAAAAGTGAATTTAAGCGATAAAATCTGTTTTGATTGCCAAACAGACCAAAACCAAATTCGTTGGCAGAATAAAAGGTACACAATATTTTGTTTAAAAATAAATTTAAAAGGAAATTTATAAAAGATTATCTACAATATTATATATTGTTAAGTAAATAGTACAGTATGTTTGTAAATTTATTATTTATATATTTACATTTCTGTGATTAAGCTAAATTATCAACAGAGAATAATATATACATGAAGACATTTATCATTGTTTACAAAATATTAACAAAAGACAATTGCAGGAAAAGTTGTTGAACTGTTTTTTATAACTTTTCTTAAAGATTTAAAAATAAGTAAAAATATTTGATTAATAATTACTAAAATACAAGTAAATAATTTTATAAAAAATGCACGTAAGTGAAATTTAATTTTTTCTTTAATTTTTTATAAATTATTCCATTGCATTTTATTAATACGATGTATTTGTAGGAAAATATTAAAATTTAAACGTTTTATACGTGAAATTTAACAGAATATTTTTACCTACAGTATTGTTCGAAACGTATAAAGTTTTTAAAATAGTATTTATTATTTTTATTTTATTATTTCATCCATGTATGTATTCTATTTAAATAGTTATCATACAATTCAAATTAATTGTTATTACTATGCGTCTATAGAGCAATAATAATTTCATAAATTGCTCTTTTTCCACTTTAATAATACCTCCTAGCAATTTGGTAAAATCTGTCTGTGTTTGACACATGCTGAAAATTTCGAATCTATTATTATAACCACAACTTCCTATAAAAACTGTTTGCAATGTCACTATATGTATATTGTTATTTTTACTAAGGGGTATAAATAAATTAATTTACTGACAAATTTGTTTCAAAATGTTTTCTATTCTGTCCTGATACTCATCCATATGGGTTCTACACGTGTAATATAATATTGAATATACAAACATGAAATAATAATGTCAGATACACATAATAACACTGTTGGATTTCAGAATTTTTCTGCGAAAAATTTTAAAGAATAAATATGATGCCAATAAAGACTGAAGTTTTACGTTTAAACAAATACATACATATGTATGTATGTATATCATTAAATGTCTGATAAGTAACGATATTTACGTCAGCTCTTAAATTAATTAAATTAACCAGCTAGTGGTGGGTTAAACTCGTAAAAATTAAATAATATTTTTTTAATTGAAAGATATTAAATTTGATATAATTAAATACTTATATAGAAGGTTTTAATATCATTAAAGGATCTTGTAGAAATATTTTTTGCTAAGTATTATCTTATTAACACGTTGACGTAAATGACATGTTGTTGTTGAACAGTTTTCTCTTCGTTGTGACAGCTCCTGCATTAATCATTATATGGAAAATTCAATCTTTTAGCTTGCGCACCCATAATACAATGTCCTGTCAAAATGGCTAGCAAGTCCAATTATAGAAAAGCCAGGTCATTCCTGATGTCGAGCAAGTGGTTAGGGATGATCATTTGGTGTGGGTCATTTGAAAGTGGGGCACCAGCTAGTGCCCCTGCGGGAAGAGGCGGTCGTCAAAAGGCGCCCGACATTCGCGCAGGTTTACTGTCTGTACAAATTCGGATATTTCTATTGTATATACTATAGTACCTCATGCAGTTTACCGGTCTTTATAGCTGAGATTTCATCCAGTAAGATGTTGAAATGGCCACGTAGCTTGAATCATACCGCTCGTTAAAACGAGGAATAAAGAATTTAGGTTAGGCTGATAAGAAATACAAATAGGTCACTATGGGGCCTGTTGTGCGCTCCTTTTCGTGAAAAATGTAAAACAAAAAAAAAAAAAAAAACAAAAATGTAAAACAAATTCAGAAACTCAGTTTCCTGGACGAAATTCCTAAAAATTTTCCAATCATCGTTCGTGAGGAATGATATATCCGCGATAATATCACTCTCAAGATATTTGGATCTTATTTCGACGAAAGCCTGACAAGCTACTGAGTTTTACTACCCTTTGTACGCCCTCTACATTCGTCCGAATCCGCCAACGTTTCTTTATTCTATGATGCCTTATGCGTTTCATTCACCCATATTTTTATACCACCATCAAAAAAGATGGGGGTATATTGATTTTGTCATTCTGTGTGTAACACATCGAAATGTTGTTCACAGACCCCATAAGGTATATATTTCCTGGGACATCGTAAGATTCTAAGTCGATCTAGCTATGTCCGTCCGTCTGTCTGTTGTTGGCACGGTAGCGTCCACAAAAAAAAGAGATATTGAGATGAAATTTTCCCAAAATATTTCTTATTGATCAGAAATGTTTGGTATTGAAAATGGGCAAAATCGGTAAACGATTTCACATAGCCCCTATACAAAGGTACCCCTGGAATATTGTGTAAAAAGCTTCAAACATTCATAAATTCATTTTTTATGAAGGAAATGCCACAAAATTTCTCATAAGTCAGTTTTTTTACTTCCGAAATAAAATTCTGAATTATGGCGGACATAGGACCATATAGGGTCCCCTTTAGAAAATGACTATAATGATGATTACTGGCCTAAAAATACGAATATAGCGATGAAATTCGATACACATAAGTTTCATGCGAGCCAATATCTCTCCACCAAATTTTATATCGATCGGTCCATAATTGACCCTACCCTCCATATAAGATCCCCTTCAGAAAATTACTTTAACGCTCATTAAAATACGAGTATAGCGAAGAAATTTGACATACATAAATAAGTATCTTAGCAGCCAAAACCTTTAAACAAAATTCTCTCTACCAAAGTAAGTATCTGAGGAGCCAAAATCTTTCCACCAAATTGTATGTGGATCGGTTCATAATTGACCCTACCCCCCCCCCCATATAAGGTCCCCTACATAAAAAAAGCTCATTACTGGCTTAAAAATACGAGTATAGCGATGAAATTTCACAGAAGTAAGTTTTATAGGAGCCAAAATCTCTCTACAAAAGTATATGTGGATCAGGACTTAATTGACCCTACCCATCAGAAAAATGCTTTAAGGCCCATAATTGGCTTAAATATACGAGTATAGCAATGAAATTCGACTCAAGTAAGTTCCTTGCGAGCCAAAATCTCTTAACCAAATTTTATGTGGATCGGGCTTTAATTGACCCTACCCCCCATATAATCTCCTAGGGACCATCAGAAAATTACTTTAACACTCATTACTGGCCTAAAGAAAAAGTAAAGCGATGAAATTCGATATAAACATAACTTGTATGAACCCTCCCCCATATAAGGACCCTTCAGAAAATTACTTTAAAACTCAGTACTGGATTAAAAATACTAGTAGATCTATGAAATTCGGTCGGTCCATAATTGACACTTATCCCATTTAAGGTCCCCATCAGAAAATTACTTTAACATTATCATTATTGGCTTAAGAATGCGAGTACAGCGATGAAATTCGACACTAATAAGTTCTATAGGAACCGAAATCTCTCTTCCAATGCAATTCGACATAAACTAATTTTGAGCTAAAATCTCTCTACCATATTGTATGACGATCGGTCCATAATTAAACCTAACCCTGTATAAGGTCCCTTTAAAAAAATGACTTTAATGCTCATTACTAGCTGAAGTAGATCTATGAAATTTGAAATACATATGGAACTGAAATCTTCCTACCGACTTTTATGAGAATTGGTCCATATATGTATGTATAAATAACCCTAATATTTTTAATTCGAAAGATGACTGTCAATAGTTAAACCCCCATTAATGGATCTCTTTCAAATATTACCCTGATGTACTCATTAATATCGATATATAACAATAAAATATTCAAAATATCAAAGTTTATTTATATGGCAGTGATTTGATAGTGGGTATATAAGATTCGGCATAGCCGAATATAATACTCATACTTCTTAATACTGCCCTCGTTGCGTGAAATGGTTTTGTGTTCGTCAGGTTAACTACCTCGAGCTCCCTTCCTTTTAAAGCCATTACATTCGCCCTTTCGTTGCCGACTGCTCCCAAGTGGCCTGGTATCCTTACCTCTGGAAGAGTATTCGGTTTGAGCTTTTTTACAATACAATAAGGTCTTTGATTTAACTTTGTCATCTGATATCGCCCTTATTGCCTTCTGTCTGTTGCTAAATAATCCAATTAACGCTAAATAATCCAATTAACGCATTCCGTTATTGCACGAACTTCTGCTGTCGATGTTCATGCATACCACCAGTTTGCTATCGAAGGATTCACCTATATAGAGGACATCTTCGTTTAACGCGGTTTCCACCGATATAGAATCTAATAGTCGGATAATTCAAAATTATTCGGTTAATCGAATAAAAGGAAATTGGATTTATTTTTATTAATTTTATAGTTTAAAGGTAAATGTAATAGTAACGCTAATTTGGATAATAATTAATAGGTGACATCTTATCTAACTTAGTCTGATATACATTAATTCCACAGATTTTAAGAATGTTTAATCAATTCAATATTTATACATAGTTATATACGCATGCATTTGTGATTAATTATTTTTTAAATTTCTTTCAGAAACACTTGGCAATGACATGTGCAAGTCATGGGAGAAGGAGTTAGAGAAGACAGCTAATTCTAAAAAACAACCAAGTCTATTGCGCGCCTCTATGCGTGTATTTGGTTGGAGATTTGCTTTATTGGGTCTGGTACTATTTCTGCTCGAGTTAGGTTTAAGGTAGCAATAATATAATTATTATGTAATATAAGTAATTTACCTGATTTTTTAAATCTCTACAGAACTTTACAGCCATTGTTTCTACTCGGATTGATAGCTTATTATTCAAAGGATGAATCTAATATAGAAACAGCTTATCTTTATGCGGCTGGCGTTATATTATGCTCGGCATTGAATGTGATTATAATGCATCCTTATATGCTGGGCACCATGCATACGGGCATGAAGATACGGGTGGCCATGTGTAGTATGATTTATCGTAAGGCTTTACGTTTAAGTAAAACCGCCTTGGGTAATACCACTGCTGGTCAAGTGGTCAATTTAATATCGAATGATGTGGGACGCTTAGATTTGGCCATGATATTTATACATTATCTATGGGTGGGACCTGTGGAGACAATGTTTATAACCTACTTAATGTACAGGGAGGTATGTGGGAACAATAAAAATTTTATATAGTTTCTTGTTTTTTAATGTATTTATCTAATTATAGATTGGCATCTCGGCTACCTTTGGTGTAGCATTTATGCTGTTGTTTATACCACTTCAAGGTTGGCTGGGCAAGAAGACGTCAGTGCTACGTTTGCGCACAGCTTTGCGCACCGATGAGCGTGTGCGCATGATGAACGAAATTATATCGGGCATACAGGTTATAAAAATGTATGCTTGGGAAATACCTTTTGGTAAAATTGTGGCACATGCCCGTAAAAAGGAAATCAATACCATTAGACAAGTATCCTATATACGTGGTATACTGCTGTCTTTCATAATGTTCCTAACACGTGTGTCAATCTTTCTCAGTTTAGTGGGATATGTGGTACTAAGTCATTTCCTAACACCGGAAAAAGCGTTTGTTATAACTGCCTATTATAATATCTTAAGAACTACCATGACAGTATTCTTTCCTCAGGGTAATTTTTAATATTTCTATTCAAAATTTATTTTATGTAAAATATTGTAAGTTAATTACATATAATTTCTATTTTAACAGGCATATCCCAATTGGCCGAATCTTTGGTATCCATTAAACGCATACAAAATTATATGCTATATGAGGAGACCGATATTGTAGACAAATCAGCCGTAGATTTTAAGCCCAATTATGATCGCAGTAACCAATCTACTGTGGTTAAAGGTGACGATAAAGCTTTAGATGAAAATTTAGAAACTGAAAATGCTGAAAAGGAACCTTTAATATCAAATGGTCATGCTACTTTGTCAGAAGCTGGTATTATCATTAGTAATGTTAAAGCTAAATGGAATCCAAATTCTACAGAATATACATTGGATGATGTAAATCTGCGTGTTCAACCGGGAACTTTGGTCGCAATTATTGGTCCTGTAGGTGCTGGAAAGTCGAGGTAATTAATAAATTGGGAAATTATTTTAAGTTTTTATTAATTCTAAATTGTTTTTAGAATATAATCTTTTTAAAATAATTTCGATGAATAAACTAATTTTTAAAACAATTTTAACCTAATTTTAGCCTTATCCAAAGTATTCTGGGTGAATTACGTCCCGAATCGGGTACGATTAAAACTAATGGAACCGTTTCGTATGCCTCACAAGAACCATGGCTTTTTACCGGCACTGTGCGACAAAATATACTATTCGGTCAACCTATGGATAAGAAACGTTATCATCAAGTTGTTAAAAAGTGTGCTTTAGAACGAGATTTTGAACTTTTACCCTACAGTGATAAAACTGTGGTGGGTGAACGTGGTGCCTCGTTGTCAGGAGGTCAAAAGGCACGCATAAGTTTAGCCAGAGCGGTTTATCGCAAGACATCAATATATTTACTAGATGATCCCTTAAGTGCTGTTGACACACATGTTGGCCGACATCTATTCGATCAGTGCATGCGTGGTTTTCTACGCGATCATATCGTTGTACTAGTGACACATCAATTGCAATTCTTGCAAGCTGCCGACCAAATTGTAATTATGGACAAGGGCCGTGTAAGTGCGGTTGGTTCGTATGAGTCCCTTCGAGAAAGTGGTTTAGATTTTGCTCAAATGTTGGCCGATCCAGAAAAGGATGATTCCATGGAAGTAAAGTCACGCTCACGTTCGGGCAGTCGTATGTTTGATCGTCAAAATAGTGAAGCATCTATTAATTCGGCTGCCGATTCAACGATGGAAGATGGTGCCATGCAAGTACAGGAGACCCAAGAAGAAGGCAAAATTGGTTTGGATTTGTATAAGAAATATTTCAAAGCTGGAGGTGGCTTCTTTATGTTCATTGTAATGCTGGTATTTTGTATATTATCACAAGCTTTGGCTTCAGGTGGTGATTATTTCCTATCATATTGGTAAGTAAAAAATCAAAATAATTAAAATATTTGAAATTATTTAAAATTTGTCTATTTCCTCCAATAGGGTAAATAAAAAAGGCTCTATAGAAGCCGAGCGTATTGAAAACGCTGCCAAACATGTTAATACAACATCATATAATAAGACCGATGAAGTTTTTGAATCCTTATCATCATCACCTTCCCATCAACTAGAATCCAGACTTTCCATGCTTTTGGAACAATACAATATTCATATAGATCCCGAAATGCTAGACATTTACATATTCACCATTATAACTGTGGCTACCATCATCATAACTGTGACAAGAAGTTTCTTATTCTTCAATGTGGCCATGAAGGCTTCACAAAATCTACACAATTCCATGTTTAGAGGCATTACACGAGCTTCCATGTACTTTTTCAATACAAATCCCTCCGGTCGTATACTTAATCGTTTTTCAAAAGATATGGGTCAAATAGATGAGATACTGCCAGCTGTTATGATGGATGTTATACAGATCTTCCTCTCGTTATTTGGCATAGTTATTGTTATAGCCGTAGTTAATCCATTGTATCTGGTGCCCACCTTTTTGCTAGCTATTGTTTTCTACTATTTGAGAACATTTTATTTGAAAACATCGAGAAACGTAAAACGTTTGGAAGCGATAAGTAAGTTATAAATAATTAATCTTTTTAGAGGACTTGATCAAAAATACTGTTCGAAAACAGAGAACGATTTGTTGTGCAAATAATTTATTTTCTGTATAATATACATTTATTTCAATCGATTACGAGCAATTGCTATTTCATTATTAACATACATATTCAATTATTCCCCCAATTTTCAAGTTTTTAGTTTAAAATTTTAATTTTTAAATATTCGTTCCAAATTTGCTATATAAATAAGTTAAATCGCTCTAGAACCAGTTACTTCAGAAGAAATTCTTAAATTTTTCCTTTTATCAATTTTTAAATTTGAAATTCGATTTTTAAATTTCAAATATTTTTATCTTTCAGCACGTTCTCCCATATACTCTCATCTGGCCGCCTCTTTAGCTGGTCTCTCAACAATAAGAGCTTTCGGAGCTCAGCATGTTTTAATTACCGAATTCGATAATCATCAGGATTTACATAGTTCGGCATTTTTCCTGTTTATATGCACCTCACGTGCCTTTGGCTACTGGTTGGATTGTTTCTGCGTCATTTTCATAGCCATTATAACCTTAAGTTTCTTCGTGTTTGCACCGGAAAATGGAGGCGATGTGGGTTTGGCCATAACACAAGCCATGGGTATGACCGGAATGGTTCAATGGGGTATGAGACAATCAGCCGAATTAGAAAATACCATGACTGCCGTAGAACGTGTAGTAGAGTATGATGACATAGAACCGGAGGGTGAATTAGAGTCCAAGGAGGGCAAAAAACCGCCAAGGTCTTGGCCTGAAGAGGGTAAAATAATATTCGATGAACTCAGTTTACGTTATTTCCCCGATCCCAAATCGGAATATGTATTGAAATCCTTAAATTTTGTTATAAAATCATGTGAAAAAGTGGGAATTGTGGGACGCACAGGTGCTGGTAAATCGTCTTTAATTAATGCCCTATTTCGTTTATCCTACAATGATGGTAGTATTATAATCGATGCTCGTGATACCAAGGAAATGGGTCTACATGATTTACGTAGTAAAATATCCATAATTCCCCAGGAACCTGTATTGTTTTCGGGAACCATGCGTAATAATTTGGATCCATTTGAAGAGTATTCTGATGCCAAATTATGGGAAGCCCTAGAAGAGGTAATATAGTGTATTGCCTTAAATTGAAAACAAAATAACATATATTTTCTCTTTGGTTACTAGGTCCAGTTAAAGGAAGTCGTATCCGAATTACCTAATGGCCTACAAAGCAAAATCTCAGAAGGTGGTACTAATTTCAGTGTTGGCCAAAGACAATTGGTTTGCTTGGCTAGAGCCATTTTACGTGAAAATCGTATATTGGTTATGGATGAAGCAACAGCCAATGTCGATCCACAGACCGATGTCTTGATACAGACAACAATACGCAACAAATTTAAAAATTGTACCGTACTCACAATTGCCCACCGTCTGCATACAGTTATGGACTCGGATAAGGTGTTAGTAATGGATGCCGGTCAAGTGGTTGAATTTGGCTCCCCATTCGAACTGTTAACCGAAAGTGATAGGAAAATATTCCACAGTATGGTTAAGCAGACAGGCAAATCAACATATGAAAACTTATTCAAAGTTGCACAAAAGGTAAGCGTGTAAATAGGCGCTCTTAGATTGAACTATAATAATATGTTCTTTTACATTTCACAGGCCCACGAGGACTCTTTAAAACACAAAATGGAGTAGTTTCGTTTGCTATAAAAATAACGTCTAAATAGCTTTCATTAAAAAAACATATGCGATTACTTAAATCATGCCAATATAAAAAGACTAAAAAAATACTACAGGCCTTTGTTTTATAGTGCAATTAATTTTAAGAATATATTTATAAATTTTATTTTAGTTTATCTTTTTTTCGAAATATGTTTACTTTTGTAAGTGTGTACAAAATGTGGTTTAATTAATGTTTAAAACAATGTGTTATTTGTACTGTATATTATGTTATATGTTGTCAACAAATCTATATATTATTATTTTTTTCTTAACATAAACTACTATTACTTTAGATACTTTTTGTGAACAAATTTTAAATTTAAGTCTTTATTGTTAAAGAAAATACTAGCATGTGCCTTTAAATATATTGTTATAAATGTAATATTAGGTATACAATATGCTTAAATACAAATATAGAGATATAAACTAATAAAACGTCCAAATATTAAATTATTTACATTTTAAATAAAAATAACGTGTTTTTATTTTCAAGCGCACTGAACGTACTCCACTTTTCTAATTCAATTATACGTCTGTCTGGCAACTGTGTGTTTTTCATTTACTCTCTTGTCTCGCTCACTCTCTGTCTCTTGCACTTTCTTATCTGTGGTTTTGTTTTGATTCCCATTTTCTTTTTAGTTTATTCAAGTACATAATTTTCCTTTCAACGTTTTTATTTCGAGCACCTGAAAATTCTAGTTTTGCACCGTTTTTTATAAAATAAAAAATCCAAAATTATAACAAAAAACTAAATTAAAATCTCCTTTTTACAAATACTCAGCAAATTGTGTGAAATTCTCTTAAAATCAGATGAAATTATTGAATCAAAAAAAGCAAATACGAGAAAAAATCATTGAATTTACCCTCAAGGGGGTTGCTTGTTTTTATTTGGAAAAACATTAGGAAAAAATAATAAAATCTATGAAGAAAATGTAAAAAGTGTTCAATGTGTGTGCGAGTGCAGATGGTACATGAGTGTGTTCCTCTTAAGTGTTGTGTGCGTGCTGGAATTTGTATTCGGTTTTCTTTTGTTTATGGTCTAAATTTGTATAAAAGGTAAAAATTTAATATAAATTCCCTGACATACAAAATTAGTACATTTAATTAGTTTATGTTGAAGAAAAGCATTACCAACAAAAACAATAACAACAATATGAATGTTTTGTCATTCATACCAAAAAAAAATATTGTATTTCCTTTTGCGTTCATTTTTATTATGTCAATGTTTTCTTGTGTTTTTTCTTTCCCTTGTGGAAATAAACGGAAATAGTTGACTTAGCGGAAAATTGGCAAACGGAAACGATTGGTGAATTTAACGTTTGCACAGTGGTTACAATAAAATAAAGATTTATTTATAAAAATAGAAAAGAAAAAATTCAGGTTAATATGTAAACAAAAATATTCAGAGGAATTATTGATAATAACTTTTTAAAGTGTTCTAAAATAATTTACATATGTAATTAAATAAAAATTTTTATGGTGTTATTTTAAAAGTTAAAAAACAAACGGTTATTATATACCAACGGTTATTATATACCAAAAGTGGTAATTAATTTAAAAAAGAAACAAAAAAGACAAAATTAAGGACAAATCTACACAAAATGTTTCTTAACAAGATAAAAACTTGCACAAAAATAAGGTCACATTTAAGAGTAGATTAAGCTTTGTCTGTCTATCCGTCTGTAAGTTTTCTGAAGATCTCAGATATCTCCGGGATTTTGTTCTGGTTCCTGTTTGTATATAAAAACAAAGCAAAGCAAGAACAACAAGTTACGAATGCTTAGAAACATGAAATTAAGTATGTACAGCCATGAGTAAATGAGAATCTATATAATGGGACTTTTTGGTACTTGCTCCTTCTTCAAAAGGTATTTTTTGAATTTTCAATACTATTGAAACTAGAAACACGAAATTAAGCCTGTAAAGTCCGGAATAAGTGAGAACCTATAAAATGGGAATTACTGATACTTGTTCATTCTTCAAAAGGTATTTTTTGAATTTTCAATACTATTGAACCTATAAACACGAAATTAAGCCTGTAAAGTCCGGAATAAGTGAGAACTTATAAAATGGGAATTATTGATACATTTTCGTTCTTGAAACGGTACATTTTGAATTATACGTAATATTGAATCTAAAAACATGAAATTATGCATGTAAAGACCGGAGTAAGTGAGAACCTATAAAATTGAACCTTTTGGTACTTTTTCCTTCTTAAAAAGGTACTTTTTGAATTGTCTATAATATTGAACCTAGAAACATAAATTTAAACATTCAGAGTCCTAAGTGAATGAAAATCTGTAGGAAAACATGTTTATTACTTTTTCATTCTTTAACTGGTACTTTTTGGTTTTTATGCAATATTCAATGAAGAAACATATAATCAATCATAGGTACATACAGGTATCCTGATGTAATGAAAATCTATGAGTGAATTTTTTGCTGCTTTTTGAAAAATTTTTAATATTACACCTATAAACATACATAAAATTAATATCTATAAAAAGCGTCGTTCTGATACCTTTTCATTTTACAAATGGTAGTTTTTAATTTTTTGTAATAAAATTGTAAACACATAAATACCCTTATTTAAGATTCGACACAGCCGAAGAAACTTATTTACCGGTACAGGTCCCAAAAGACCATCGATAGAATTAAAGTATTTTGGGAATCATCATAAAACAAAAGAAAGTTTTTTTAAGCTCGGTAAAATTTTGAAATGAGCATGTAAATTGTATCGATCTTAGGATATTTTCTTATAAACTGTATAACTCTCAAACCGAGAACACAAAATCCAAAATATGGGTAACATCATATGACATATTTTTAGAACGGTAACTCACCATTTTGAGAAGGGTAACTCAATCACCATCTTTTTATAAATTTTATTAAAAAAATCTACTGGCAAAAAAACTGAATTTTTAAAAGTGATTTTCTATAATTCTGTATATAAATTTAAACCTTTGGATCTAACTGTACAGGATTCGAGGCGGTCTTTTATTATAAGTCATTTTGTAGAAATTTCTCGATTTATTGACAATAATATTATTTTCTGTAACAGGGATTATATGGGAAATAGGTTCAATAATAGCCCCTTGTGAAACTTCGTAGACAGATTTTGTTTAGCATAGAACATGTTCATGTTTACGTCAGATTTCATCGATTTAAAGCAATCTATGAGTATTAATGCTATATATGGATGGTATCATAAAATGTGTAAGTTGGTCATGTTTTCGTGCTGATATTTTTATTATAAGCGTTAAAATAATTTTCTGCAAATATGGACCGATATCTGTTACTTTACTATGTATATTTCATCTGTGTTACTGCCAAATCAATATATTTATGACTGCAGAAAATGTGTTCTGGGAGCCACTTGTTTATGGTCTTTGAGAAATCTTGCACCGACAATTAACAAATTTAATACACTTTGTCCGTAACGTTCCAAAAAATGCTTAAGCCAAATTATATCAAAGTACATATATTCGAAAATATTACCTGTACTTCGGGAACAAATTAAGAAATATTATCCAGAGAAAAATAAAAAACGGAACGTGCTAACTCTCCAACTTGTTCACAGTTTTTTGGTCCGTTTTCTTAAGTGAAAAAAAGGTTTTAAATAGTTGATACCGAAGGGACTAAGGCTATTAAAAAACTAGTTTTTATAGAAAATTTAAAGAATTTCCGTAGTCCACTTTTATAAAAAGTCCCACTTTTATAAAAAGAGAGCAAATTTCATTTACTTTTAATTTTAGCATTTTCAATGAAAAAATCTATGTATGTAACTGTAAAATTCCTCAAATATCTATCCATTTATATATAATACATCGTGTCTATCTAAAATGTAAAATTAAACTAGGAATATTTAACATCTTATTGTAAAATTTCCTTACTTTGTTACACTTTGTTACTTTCCTCCAGGTGACGTATACTTACTATTAATTTTTGTTGTTCAATTCATTAAACGCATAGACAACAGCAGGCAACAGACAGCAATGTGTCAATAACATACTTTTATATGAAAACGATTATTTTGATAGCAACCATTTACACGGTAGCATAACAAAATTTGCTGTTGCTGTCAATATTTCGATAAAATGAAAAGATCAATGCAATCAGCATAGTCAGCGGCTATAGAGGATACTTTTTTAAGGGAATCCAAAATGCAACATGCACTAAAGTTAGAAGCAATTCTTGTTCACATTAATTAGTATATTACGTTTTAGTTAATAACTCCTGAATTAAATAATTCTCTACTTCTTTCACTAGAATATAGAAGGCGGTTGTAACAACCTATCAAAAATTATAGGGGGTATATTGATTTTTTCATTCCGTTTGTAACACATCGAAATATTGGCCATAGATCCACAAAAGTATATATGTATATTCTGGGTCCTTATTAAATTCTGAGACGATCTAGCCATGTCCGTCCGTCTGTCTGTGAAAGCACGATAGAGGTCGAACGGAAAGAGGCAGATGGTTTCAATTTTCCACAAATATTCCGTAGAGTAAGGTTTGTTTTGAATTGAAAATGGACAATTTTGGTCCCCGTTTTCGGATAGCCTCCATACAAGTACTAGTATAGCGATGAAATTCGACATAAATAAGTTTCATATAAGTCAAAATCTCTCTAACAAATTGTATGAGGATCAGTCCATAAATGACCCTACCCCCCATATAAGGTCCACTTTAGAAAATGACTTTAGCGAGTACAGCAGTGAAATTCGACTTTTAAAAGTTTTGTGCGAGCCAAAAACTCTATCAAATTTTATGAGGATCAGTCCATAATTGACCCTACCATCCATATAAATGATTTTAACGCTCCCTTCAGAAAATGATTTTAACGCTTATTACTGGCATAAAATAGCGAGTACAACGATGAAATTCGACATGAACAATATTTGAATGAACAAAAATCGTTCTAGAAAATTTTAGGATGATCGGTCCATAATTGACCCTACCCCCCATATAAGAACCCCTTCAGAAAATTACTTTAACGCTCATTACTGTCATAAAAATACCAATAGATTTATGAAATTCTACATAAACAAGTTTTATGGAAACCAAAATCTTTCTACCGACTTTAATGAAGATGGATCGATAACTGATCCTACCCCCTCAATAATGGCTCAAAAGTTCATACAAATTACGGTAGTTATGTATATAGGAAATGAAATTTTTCGACTGAATTTAATGAGAATCGTTCGATAACTGATCCAACCCCCATTATCGGTTTCCTTCAGAAAGTTACTTTAAACCTCATAACTGTATTAAAGATATGCGATGAAATTCGAAACAAATAATTATTTTATAAACCGATGAGGATAGGTCCATAATTGACTCTACTCTCCCTTTTACAAAAAAAAACAGTTTATAATTACAAAAATTGGAAAAAAACGATTTGTTTCTTTAAATTTCTTTTAATTGGGAAGAGCACGGTCCATACTTAAGCCCTCAATAAAGGCCCTCTTCCAAATATTACTCTAATGTTCATATTAATATCGATATATGATGATAAAATTCAACATAGATCTAATAAATTAGAAAATTTTTTCGATAATAACAAAAGCATTGCTTCGTAAATATCAAAGTTTATTTATAAGGAAGCATTCTTTTTCGGCTATAATTTGTTGGTGGGTATATAAGATTCGGCATGGCCGATTATAACACTCATACTTGGTTTAAGGTCAATTTGGTGAAAAAGTTTCCCCACCAAAAGCAATTTCTGAAATGCTTTTATTCGTTATTTTTATAAAAGTTATTTTAATAATTTTCATAAAAAGTTATTTTAATAATTTTCATAAAATGTTATTTTAATAATTTTCATATGTCATAACATTGTTGTAAAGAACAATACTCTCTGTAAGATAATGTTAAAAATTTGCTAAATTGTTATGCAAAATATTAATTTTGCTCATTTAAAAAGATACAAAACTTTATCACGTTTAGTGCGGGCACTTTTTCACGATCGCGTAAAAAAATTAACATATTCCGTAACATCTGTTCACGCTCTACAGGAGTTGCTATGGTATTTTTAATATTTGAAACAATTGCAA